TCCTCCTCTTCCTCCTCCTCCTCCTCCTCATTTTCATCCGCCACTTTCTCCCCACCCCACTTCCTCCAATTTAAGTACCCTTCCTTTACAGATCCATGGAACATTCCCCCATCTCCCCCTCTTCTGCGTCTCACAAGCTAAATTCATTTATTCATTATCACTCATTAGTCACGAAATTCAACACAGACGACTACATAAAAACGTGCTAGAAATGCTACCCAAAGCTGATATATTGGGAAGAACGTTTCTTCTCCAATTTTATTTGTTTGTTGTTTTCTTTTCTTTTCCTTATCCAAACTGGAAGGGGCATTGTTAATCGACTGACTTTCAACTGGTCGAGCACTAACACAGTTTTTGTTTTTTTTGGCTACTTTGGACGTTGACCCTGCACAAAAACTGGCAAAATACCAAAGGTGGTTATGTGTGCTCATAAAACTAACCAATCGAAGCATCGCGATTATTCATGCATAGTCTATGAGCATAAAACAAAAGATGTGTAGTGTCATGGACCTTTAACACAAATTTTAGCCTGTTTGTTTGTTAATTTCTTTGATGTTTACCTTCCTAACCATTTCCCTTTATTAACTATGCCGAAGTTAAGCCTACTACTCATGTAAATTACTGCAGGTGTTCACCTCTTTGATAGTTCCAGTAGTCTTGAACAGCTTGTATATCATCACCGCGGGAATAAGAATTAACGAGGATACCATCAGCAGCCAACCAATCGCCTGCCCCCAGCCTGGGTACACGTAGTCGCCGAATTTGAGTGGTGAATACGTCACAAGGTTAAAGACGAAAATAAACTGCAACGTTGAATATAAAAATCATTGAGGCAACCACAAAACTTGGGTCGAGTAGCAGCTCTCGTAAGGTCTCACATTAATGACCTGATACCCTTTGAGACAACGGAAGCAATCGGCCCCTAGACCGAAAAAAAGTAACTCGTGCTAACAAGCAAAATAATTGCAAGCTGACAAGAGCTGCTGCAGTTCTGTAAAGAAATCATCATTTATGAATTGAGAGGAGGTGACAACTGTTTTAGCAAATTCGAATTCTACTGATTCCTTTGAACAAGCAAGCAGAGAACACTCTCTTGGACAATAGGTTGTTGAGGTTACACAGAAGGAGGGCTATATGACGCGTATTTTTAAATAAGTTTTACATTTTCCAGGCGGTGATTGGCCGCAATATGTGTGCTCAGAAATGGGTATACCACGGCGAAACACACCACCCGCCACTAACAAGTCAGGTTTGTTCTTTGACGAAAGCGAGTTCCATCCATGCTTCAGTTGCAAAAACAATTTACCGTTTTAACAGGTAGTATGACATGTGACAGACCTGATACCAATCTGACTGTTTTTAATCATGGAGCTAATCATGGTTACTAAGTTACATCTCGAAGAAATCATATTTTAGGGGCATACGGCTTACCATGTCCCCTGATTTGATTTTCTATACCTAAAGTTTGTAACATCTGAAAAGCAGTGCGAGATATTCTACGATCAACGATATTATACTTGCATCGATTTACTGAATCAAAAAACTCACCGAACAAAAAATGGGCGCGAGAAAACACCAGCACCAGCCAATCCATGGATTGATTCGAAATCCCAGCATGCTTTCAAAGTTGTCATAGAAACGATGACGTCCTGTTAATAGTCGTAAGAAATTAGTGGAATATTTGTGATAAAGCAAGCCACATGACGAAGCTACCTAAGATAGGTCTGGTTAGGTCTGAAAATTTGTATGGAAAATGGCGTACTTTGGCCTAAAATAAGTTAAGTAAAAAGTATCGAGAGCCGGGTGGTGCACACCCACCAAAATGTGTAGCACGCTATTGATATGTAACATGGAAATGTTACCATAATGTACAACACTCCACCTCTCCTTTCCGGGAACTCAGCACGCTGAGGAAATTGGGAATTTGGGTATGAGTTTGGAAATTTGGTTAGGAACCAGATATGAATCATGCGTTATTAAATAACTAATGATTGAGATTGGGACACAGGGATTGAGGTTTTACTGTTGAAATTTAAGATTCTCAAAGGCGTAGTCTTTCTGTAGTTGACGACCGTTATAGGAGAATCTTTGTTTATAATATTTGCCTCATTACCGTCAGCGATACAGTTTCTGATAGAGCTACAAAGAGATTAGTACTGAATATTGAAACGGCACAGCACGATTAACTGTCCCAAGGAATTTGAGCGCGATGTATTGAATACATTTTGTGCGACGAGGGTTTAAAAGCTCATAATTTTATGAAGCACGTATGAGCTCATTAGCGCTTTTGCCACACAGAAATTTTGATGTTTTTGAAAGCCAATTTCTCCTCGAATATTACACCCAAAGAGCCAAAAATTTCACC